ACTGGAAAAGGGCTCAAAGGAACATTCTAGAATGGCGGCAATTCTGTCTTGCTAGGAAGTTGGGGGCACAGGTATTGTCAAAATTCAAGGACTGTACCTTTTAAGAACCTGTGCATTTTTTTCTGAATGAAATGATATCTTAATTTTAAAAATATATGTGTGGCTCAGTCAGTTGAGAGTCTGACTTCGGCTCAGGTCGTGATCTCACAGTTCGTGGGTTCGAGCCCCATGTCGGGCTCTGTGCTGACAGCTCAGAGCCCGGAGCCTGCTTCGGATGCTGTGTCTCCCTCTCTCTCTCTCTCTCTCTCTCTCTCTCTCTGCTCCTCCCCTGCTCGTGCTCTCTCAAAAATAAATAAACATTAAAAAATAAAGTAAAAATATATGTATATGTGTAGATGTGTGTTTATGTATTTAACCCCAGGTTAATGTCCACATGATAACATTCTAATTGATGAATTAGCCTGAGGCCCAGGAAGCTCCAGGGGCGGGGCTGAAGAAACTCTTTGGGGGGGAGGCGGGGGCTACCCATGTTGGGTGTAGAGGTGGGGCTCGAACTCACAACTCCAAGATCAGGAGTCACACGCTCCACGGACTGAGGCAGCCAGACACCTGGTTAATGAATAAAGAACAATCTTATCAAAAGCTAACACTTACTTGGCACTTGCCAGGGCCCAGGCAATTCGCTCAGTGCTTACATGTAACAATTCATTTAATCCCCTCGACTGTCCCGTCAGGGGAGCTGTTATCATCACCCCTGTTTTACGTGTGGGGAAACTGAGGCTCAGAGAGGAGTACTTGCCCAAGGCCACACAGCTAGTAAGCGGCAGGGCCGGGATTCAGAGTCAGTCTCGGCCAACCCCGCAGGTGTTGGAGACTTGCGTTCAGACAGGGCGTGACCACGAGGGAGACACTATATGTACCCAGTGCCGGACTTCTAGAAATAGTGACCCTGGGGCAGGCATGGGTTCTGGTTAGACGTCGGGCATGGGCATTCTAGAACAAGGGCAGTGGTGAAGTGCATACGGACATTTGGAGGTTCACGTCTGGGAACCACAGGGAGGGTGCACGGTGTATGGAGAGGGGAATTGGGGGTTCAGAGGCAGGCTTGAGGAGGCAGCCTCAGACCCAGGGGCTCGGGCTAGGAGGAGGATTGGGGTGCGGGCCTTCAGGATTGGGGTGCGGGCTAACCAAGATCTTCCCCGGGTCACAGTGTTCTGAAATGAAGAGCACCGAGTTTAGCACCTGAAGATGAAAGGGAAAGGTGAGGGGAGCACCTGGGGTGGGGGGAAGGGGTCTGAATTCTAGAAATTGGGTGGAAGTTGGGTTTGCGGGTCTGAGGACAGAGGGAAGTGGTCCAGGAAGTGGTTGTAAGAGGTGAATAGAGGTTCCCAGTAAGGGAGGAAGTGAGCCTCAGAAAACCCAGAAATGGCTTTAAGGGGGTCCTGAAAGTCCACATCCAAACCCCCAGAAGGGGGGTGGGGGTGGGGGTGGATAGGATCCCAGAAGTGGGCCTCGGGCATCCCAGAAACACGTAACCGGAGTCTTGGAAGGAAACCAAGCGTGGCCCTCCTCACCCAGAAACGGGCGAGGTGCCTTTTCCAAGAGCGCAATCCGGAGAGGTAGATCTCCTGCAACACGGGGGCACTGAGCTCCACTTCGGCCCCGTCCGAGGTCAGCGAGGGTCGGAAGCCCACGGCCTGGTGCGCTTCAGCCATGTCACGCTAGAGCCCTGGGAGTTGGGACAGAGGGTCATTTTCCAGGCCCCCAGCCTCAGACCCAGGAATCCGGGCTCCCAACCCCCTCCTCCTGCAGACCCAGGAATATAGGCCGACGGCTCACCCTTCCCTAACCACCTGAGGGGTCTCGAAGGACTTTGTCAGAGACTCGGGTGTTGGGGGGATGTCAGTCGGGGGCCTCTGTGAACGCATAGAGAGGCAGGAGGGATAACTCGCGTGAATCCCTTTTGCGACTCTGCTGAGAAGGAAGTGCAAGGCCGTGCGCCCCTCCCCACGAAAGACTTTCAAGATTCGGGGTTGGGGGCGCAAAACCAGCCCAGGGTCGGGTTGCGGGGTCTGGAGAAAAACATTAGTCCGAGACCCATTGAAATGAACACCTGCCGGACGTTGGCACCGTCCGCCTCGTTTCCGCTTCCCATGCCAAGGCGGGGGAGGGGGGGATGGGACCGGTGGGGAGTGGCGGGGGAGGAGCGGGGGGAATGTCTATAAATTCTTCCGCTCCAGGATGGCCCAGCGTCCCCTCCCCCCGCCGGGGGCTGGAAGAGGTGGGGGAGGGAGCACCTTACTGCGCATGCCTCACAGCCAGGGATGCTGAGACTGTGAGCCGATGCGAGATTCGAGGACAAGTGATGCAGAAGCCCGCACGCCCAACCAAGACACAGGCCTCCCGGCCCCGCGGGAGCTCGGGTCCCTCCGGTGCGATACTTACCACGCTGAGTCAGACGTCCGCCGAGCCGATCCTGGAACCCAAGCCCGAGCCCACCCCCCACCCCCGATTCAGAGCGCCAGACCCAAGTCTCCCACTTGCATATGTCCAATCCCAGTGCGACGAGTCCACGACTTGGTCGTCGGGCCTCCGGAGCTCCTGGCCGCTCCCAATTATCCAACATCCAGGAACCCCGATTTCTGCCTCGCGTGTGCCTTCGCCGGGTAGGCAAGTCCCTGGTTTTGTCCCCGCCCCCTTCCAACCCTCTGCGTTCTATCCCCGCCCCCTCGAATCCCAGCGTCCAATCCTCTCCCTCCGTTCGCTCCCTAGCCTTCAGCCTTTTTCTACCCGGCCTGATTTCTCTACCATTGGCTTCCCGGGTTCTAAGCCGCTCCTCTCCTCTGAACCCCAGGTTCTTGAGCTTCCCACTCCGCTTTGTCTCACTCTCCCTCTTTGAAAAACGAGGCTCAGCTTGGTACTCATAGCCCACCTTTGGGTACGTGTAAAGTCACGCGCGTGGGTATCGAGCCGGAGCGAATCAAAGTTCTACCATCCCGAGGAGGGAGGGCTACTTTGGGGAGTTGGGCCCGCCCACCAAAACCGCCCACGGAAAAAGCAGCTGCGCGGATTGAGTGGTGCGAAAGGGAAGCGACAGCAGATTGGATTCAAGTGAGACAGGCAGAGGGACTTCCGTGTGGGAAAAGGTGCACGGATAAAGGGGGAGAATATGTCACAGACTGAGCTCAGACTGGGAGGCCGGAATGGGCACAGACAAGCAGAGGCTGAAACGTGAAACTCGTTTTATTAGGCTCTGGCCGATAGTATTCTTTGTACATGCTAGGTCCGGCGTGCACCGGGTCCAGCCCAGTCACAACCGGGGGGAGACAGTTTCTGAGTGAGCCCAGGAGATGGAGGGCAAAAGAAACTTGGGATCGTGGCCCCAATACACAGGTAGGTAAGCTGAGGCCAGAGGAGAAACAGGGACGTGCCCGACGTCACCCAGCCAGCCGGGCACTGCGCTGGCCTCTTTTCTTCGGGCCAGGGTCATAGAGACGGAGCAGGACTCTGGCGTCGCGCTTACGGCGGCGCCCGTAGCTGTGGGGGTCCTGGGGCTCGCGGCCGGCCTTCCCTGAGAGCTCTTTGGTGGAGGCAGAGCTGAGCCAGTATATAATCTCTGGCAGGCGGTGCGTCTGGCATGTGCCCAGGGAACAGAGGCGCCTGCGGTTCTGGGCGACCTGATGCAGGGGCCGTCTGGGGAAGGAGCATGGGAGAAGACCGGGTTCAAACAGAATCCTCTCGAGAAAGGGGTCTCGGTGGGGTCGGGGCACCCAGAGCTCCGCCACAGGGCAGGCGCGTGTACAGATGACCATTCCACCGACGCGGAAAACCGTGGCCTGAAGAGGGCGCACGCTCCTCGCGGTCTCCTTCCCGCCCGGTCCCCGCCGCCACCCGCTTCTCACCTGCCCGCAGAGTCCGGGTCCCCCAGGATGGAGGAGGCGAGAAGCAACAGGAGGACGTGGGAAGTCATCGTGGGGTGGGGCCGGGAGTGGTCCTTGAAACCCCTGGGCGAAGCGGCCCGTCTGGAGTGCGGCCCCGCCCCCTCCCGACTCGCGCTTCAGCGCCAGTCCCCACTCCCCCGGGGGGGGAAAACCGAGGCCGAGTCCAGGCCACACCACGCCAGAAGGGGAGACAGAACCTGGATCCCCACGTCCTGTCCTTGGCGTCGGAGCCCCACACGGGTGTGCTGGTCGCGCAGCGGCGCTCTGACCCTGGGAGGCCTCTGGAGAGCGACCCTTTTAAGGAGGGAAGAGGGGCGGGGCAGCTGACACCTGCTAGTGGTGACACAGCTTAGGGCTTCCAGGAAAGGGGTGGGGGCAGGGAGGCGCTGGGCTTCTGGGACTTCAACCTCAACCCATCAGGGACCCTGCCTTCGAATGGCCAGGCTCCTTCGTGGGCAGGACAACGCGGGGCATGTTGCAGAGCCACCCGGGGGTGTGGACAAAGGGAGTCTGGGCCCCAGAATAGCCGGCAGACACCATCCTGGAAGGGGAAGAGGTGTAGACAGGTGCGAAGAGCCACAGGGCCTAGGGCTTCAGCTGTACTGAAGCAGGTGTCAGCAGGGCCATGAAAAGGAAAATTCTGGTGGCTTAGGTGGTCCAGGTCCTGGGACAGCATCCTGGGGGACGAGGGGCTCTGTACACAAGGTCGTGGGAAGGGTCGGGTGTGGATACCATGCCTGCAGCAGAGGCTGAACAGAGGGTCCCTGGGGAGCTGAGGTTGGGATAGCCTCTGGGGAGGTGGGGAGGCCCTGTGGCCCTAGGAGGGGACCCTTCCCTAGTCCCCCAACTCCAAGTTCCAAGCAAGGCTGGGGAGAGAAGCAGACACCCCCTCCCCACAAGTTCTATCCCCTAACAACCCCCCCATGACTCAGTTTCCCCAGCGGCAGCAGCAGGCAGGGCAGCAGTCACTGCCAGTCAGCCCTGGCCTGGCCTTGGAGGGTCCCAGACAGGAAAAAACAGCCAGAGGAACAATGTGTGTGCTGGGGGGGGCGGTGGGGGGAAGATGGCTTTCTGGGAAACCTAAGGGCCCAGCTGTGCTGGGAACCCACACCCCAACCCTCCCCCAGCCCAGCAGGGCAGTGGAGCGGGAGCCCTGCCCAATGGGGACAAGTGGGAATGGGGCCTCAGGGGGCATGAGTGAGGGGGTTGGGGGAGGACACAGGCCCGGAGAGGCGGACGGGGGAAGTGACCCTGGTGGAGGGTGTGGACGGCAGAGACCCCACTCCGCCCCCCAGGAAGCCGAGCCGTCCCAGCTGAGGATTTATTGGCGTAAATGCAACCATATAAAAACATAAGTTATGAAAAACACAGTCACGATGTGCCCCCCCCCCCAGCCCAGGCCCCTAAAACCCCCTTCTGAGGGAGGGAAGGAGAGGAAGGGGGAGCCCCCAAACTGCCTAAGGATGCCGCAGCCCCTGGGCCCGTGCAGGGCCGGCCCGGCCGGGGTGGGAGAAGCCGGGCGCCGCCTCAGCGCATCCGGTAGTCAGTGGAGCAGGACAGCTCACACAGCTGGCCCTTGAAGTCCAGGTCGATGGTGAAGTCCAGGTCGCGCTGTGGGGAGAGGGCAGACGTGAGGGGCGCACGCCATGGGGCAGGCAGAGACCCGAACCGCCGGGAGTCGGGAGGCAGCAGCGGGGCGCGCGCTCCCAGGAGACCCCGCGGGGTCTTGTTTTGGTCCAAGGCCAGGCTGGAGACTCCCCGGGGCCGGACCCACCCTCAAACCCATCTGGAGCCCGGCCGAACCGGGCTGCTCTGTCTCCCACATCCCGAGATCTTTCCCTATCCCAAGCCATTGGCCTCACTGCTTTTGAAGAAAGCAAACCCCTCTCCAGCCAAACTCAGGGGTCCCAACCCCGCCTTCCGCGCTTCCTCTACTCCCAAGCTTCCGGGAAGCCAACACTTCCATGCTCCCCACCCCCCCAGGACTCCCCGGAAAGGCTCGGGGCAAAGTCACCTATAACCATGATGGTGCCTGCCCTCAGTCCTCGCTGCACCTCATCCCAGGCGCCCGGGCTCCTCTCCCATCTCTGGGCATCTCCCTGTCTCTTTAGCTCACCGGGTGTGTCTGTGTGTGTGTGTATGTGTCTGTCTCTCTCTCTCTCTCTCTCGGTCTCTCTCAAGCTCGGTACCACAGACATTTGGGGCCAGAGTGGAGGATGTTCCGGTGTCCTGGTCACCGCGGGATGCGCAGCGGCATCCTTGCCACTCCCGGGAGCCACCAGTAGCACCCCTTCTCCAGTTTTGAGAGCCCCAAATGTCTCCAGACAGAGACAAGTGCCCTCTGGGGGGCAGCAAAGCTGCCTCTGCTGGAAGACCTCCAGCTTCCCTTGGAAAGCTGGCGTGACCTTGGGGCCTCCTCCGTCTGTGCTCCCCGATCAGGATCCAGCCCGGGCGCACAGATCCACGCGTTTAGCCCAGGCCCCCGCCCTGGACTCCAGGCTCCAGAGCCTTCGACCTCCCATGTACTCGGGGTTTCTCTGGGGGTCTCCGACTCAACCTAGCTGAGAGGGCTGGGCTGCCGGGACCCCAGAACAGGCGGAGGTGCCCCTCCTGGGCCCACCCCCGAACCCCCGCAGCGCCTCACATTATTCTTGGCATTGGGCCGCATGCCAATGGTGCCAAAGATCTCCTCGCCCGTCTTCACGGTCAGGTAGTCCTCCATGTAGAACACGGTCTGCTTCCAGTGCGTGTACGGGGACTCGGGGCCTGGGGGGTGCGGTCGGGTCAGCCAGGACCCCCCCCCCCATCCCCCAGCCTTGACCGGGCCCTTCCCTCTGGCCGGCCCCTTGATGACCTTTACTGAGCCGTGACAGGGGTCACCATCCCCGAATCCCTTCACTCCCATCAAGTCCTGGAGAGGGACCTCGTTACTTTCACAGGTGGAGAAACTGAGGCAGGACAGGCTCAGGTGAGCTGGCAGAGCCGCGGTCACGACACGGGCTCCCTCTGCCGGCTGCTGTGGCACAGCCCCCACCCCGGCCCCGCCCCCCGCTCACTGGTGGAGAAGCCCGTCCTCTTGTGGCAGCGAGTGAACTCGATGTTGAAGTAGGCCACCAGCGCGTGCACGTAGTCATTCCGCTTCACTTGCAGACAGAAGGGGGAGGTGAAGGTCAGGTCTTCCACCTTGACAGTGTAGATGTCCACCTCCTGCGGGACAGGCTCCGTGAGCCCCACTCCCCGGCACCCCGCCCAGCGTTCGTTCGGCCGAAGACCCTGGGGGTACCACGCGGCAGTCCCCAGTCCCCTCCCTCCCCCACCGGAAGCCCAAACTGGACAGTCCTACTTCCTAGAGCAACTGCTCGTGCTTGGAGTGTCACCCATTACCCCTTCACCGGCATCCCCCCGCCACGCTCGTGATGGCAGCCAGTGTGATGTGAAAACACTGGCAATGAGATCACGTCAACCCCCGGCTCAAAACCCTAGGACGGTTCCCCGGCACTCTCTCTGGCAGGGTGTCCGGCCGCCCATCCAGCTCCTGTCTCCACTCGCTCCGACTTCCTCTTCCTCCACGTGGCTCTCGGCCCACCTCTCGTGGCCAAGCACAATTCTAGAATCCACCCCTCTGTCCGAACCACGAGCGGGCTTAGCTCACAGAGCTTTTTGATGGTCAAGGTGGCTTCTCTGGGCCTCCGGCGCCACCTCTGGCTGACAGGTCAGACTCCAAGACAAACACCTGGACCTGAGGTCTTGCTCAGGCCCAAGTGGCGGTCCTTCCTTGTCTCCAACCCCGGGGACAACCTGGCCACACACTCTCCCCACCTCACCTTTATGAGGCAGGCGTTGGTGACCAACTGCTTGGGGTCCACCACGTCCACCAGAGGCTCCTTGATGGCCACGTCTTTGATGCAAGACATGTCAAAGCCATATACGTTCTCCCACCCTGGGGAGGCAAGCAGGGAGGAGGGTGAGCCCGGCAGGGGGCGCTCAGGGCAAGCCAGTCCCGCCCCACGGGCTTCCGAGGGACCCAAACTCACAGTGGATCTTGTAGTCTTTGTACTGCCGGTCTTCGATGGCCGTCACATACAGCGTGGCCCGGTCTGGGAAGATGAGGCCATCGGGTGCCTGCCGAGGGGGAGGGGGAGGGTGTGAAGGATGGGGGGAGACTTGGGACACCGGCCCCAAACCTGGACAACTTGCGTCTCTCTATCCATCCACACACTCTATCTCTGCCCTGCCCACCTGGACTCCTACAAGCGGCCTCTTCACTGGTTCCTGGCTTCTGTCCTCACGCCCTCATCTAGGAGCACCTAACTCAGACCCGTCCTTCATAGGTTCTGAAGGATCTGCAGGACCCTCCCTGGCTCCTCTGAGAGGAGAAACCAAAGTCTCATGGGAGTGCTCAGGCCCCCTGCACGTTCTGCTTCTTCAGTCCACTCCCTGTCCCTCAACACACAGTAAAAACTCTCCTGCCCCAGGACCTTTGCACTAACTATTTCCTGGGCCCAGGTGCTCTTCCCCCAGGATGTCACGCAGCCTTCCCCTTGACCAGGTCTCAGTCACCTCCCCTTGGGAGGCCTGCTCTGATCTGAGCACCTGGAAACATGGCCCTCCAGCCTCTCCTATCCTTCTGCCCTGCCATGTTCTTCTTCCCAGCACCAACCACCTCCTGACACTCCTTGTCAATGTCTAGCTCCTGGTGCCTGTAACATCCCAATTTGGCTCCGGGCCCTCTGACATCGGAGAGGTCAATCCCCTGTACGAAGTCCCCTGTGTGGGAAATATCTGCCATGGCTTTTGTCTTCTGCCCAGACCCCCGACTGACAGGTATTCAACACGTGGCCGAAGGAGCCTGGCCCCAGCGCACAGCCCCCACCCCGCCGGGGGCCTCACCAGCCACTTGTCTCGGGCATAGAGAACGGTGTTGAGCATTGACTCGTAGAAAAGGCAGTAGCCCATCCACTCGCTGATAATGATGTCCACCTTCTCCACCGGAAGCTCCACCTCCTCCACCTTCCCCTTGATGATGGTCACCACTGCAGGGGCAGACAGAGGCACGTGCACCCAGCCCTGAGGAGACCCATCTGCTTGCCTCTGGCAGGGGAGGGAGTCGGCAGGTGGGGGGGGGGGGGGGGGGCCGGGCCTAGGGATCCCACTGAGCAGCCTGTTTTATCCAGGAAAGGCTGGGGGCTGCATTTGGGCATCTTCAAAGAACTCGACCAGCTGAAGCCACGCTCTGTGAACTCAGGGTTTTTTATTTCTTGTTTTTTAAGTAATCCCTATGCCCAACGTGAGGCTTGAACTCACAACCCTGAGATGGGAGAGTTGCACGCTCCACTGACTGAGCCAGCCGGGCGCCCCTCTGTTAACTCCATTTTAAAATTCATCCATCAGTCTGGATATTTTTAAGGCAGAAGCAGAAATTTTGTATGGGTTAGGCATTAGGTGATATTAAGACTTTGTCGTTAACAATATGGTCATATTTTTTGAATGGCTTCATCTATTAGAGACACACACAGCAGGATTTACAGGAGAAATGATATAATGGTTGAAATTTGCTTCAAATGGAGACATTTAAAGCTGACTGATAGATACCTGGGGGCTCATTATATTAGTCTCTCTCTCTTAATTTATATATACTAGTCTCTTAAAAAAAAAAAATCACTTCAGGGGCACCTGGGTGGCTTAGTCAGTCAAACATCTGACTCTTGATTTCAGCTCAGGTCATGATCTCCTGCTTTGTAAGATCAAGCCCTGTGTCAGACTCTGTGCCGACAGTACAGAGCCTGATTGGGATTCTCTCTCCCTCTCCCCGGCTCGTGCACGCACTCTCTTTCAAAACAAATTAACTTAAAAAACACAACAATCACTTCAGTTTCTAGAAAGCTAGGAGCCTC